GTGGTGAGTGCCCCCACATCAAGATAGGGATGCAGCTGGGCAATCCGCTGAAGATGGAAGTGTGTGGAACAGACCACTGATGACACCTGGGTTTCCACGGTGAGCGCCGGGTCCAGATGTACACCCAAACTGTGAACCTCACTCTTGGTGGTAAGAGTCACACACACCCCAAAGAGAGGGAGTTTCCCAAACCACTGATGTCTGGGACACCCACCCGAAGGACCTCCATCTTGCCCAGATTCAGCCTCAGTTCATTCTCCTGCATCCATTGCTGAACAGCCTCCAGGCAGCGCTCAAGGAACAAAACAGCATCCATTGTTGTTGGAAGAAAGGAGATGTAGAGCTGAGTATCATCAGCGTACTGATGACATGAAGCTCCACATTCCTTGATTATCCCTCCCAGTGGCCTCATATAGATGAGGAGAGATAATCGAGCCCTGCCGAACCCCACAATTAAAGCTCCACAAGGCCAAGAGACTCTCTCCAATCTGCATTCTTTGGGGACGGAGCCAGGCAAAAGCCAGGCCACCAATTCCCAACTCAGAGAGCCTCCCCAGTAGGATACCGTGGTCGATGGTATCAAAGGCAGCTGAGATATTGAGGAGGACTAGCAGAGACATTTTCTCCCTGTCGGCCTCCCTCAATAGGTCATTAAGGAAGGCTCTCTCAACAAGTTCCAGGTACTTTTAATATTTCTCTTGTTCTGAAATATATCTTACACTGGCTGTCAATATTTTTTAAAAAATTGTTTCACATAAAATTAAGGGCACTGGAAGACTAACCATTTCACAAAGCCAAGTGTTAAATTATGTAAATGATGTCCTTTCCTTACATTTAATATCACTGTCTCAAAACAAACATTGCAATTTATCTGATGGTTCTTGGATAAAATTCAAAATCAACAGAAATTAACTGGAAGTGAATACATTTAAAAGATGTAAATCACATCTAGCAGCTATCAACTACATGATGCTTGTTTTGAAATCCTGATACTTAAAGTTAAGAAAAGGTTCGTTCACTTGCATGGTGCCAATTCTGTAAAGCGAAACTCTATCTGAAATTAACTCAGGAATGGAATGCAATGTGATGCAGTACATTTAGGACAAAAAAAGGTGCAGGTAATGGTGCAAATGACAAACAGTCCCTCTCTAGTGCCATACGAGCGCTGTCCATGGTATACTACAATACCTGTAGGTTGTTGGGCTGACATTTATTTTCCGGGGGACACTGCAGGACTCAAACTTGTTGGCAAGCGTTACATTGTTTCCAAAGAGGCAATATCGTGGCATCTTAACACCCACAACACCAGCAAAGACAGAGCCGGAATGCAGGCCAATACGCATCTTTTAAAAACAAATAAAAGAGGAGAGGAAAATAAATTCACTGACTGTTAGATCTGACAAACATTACTGAAACTGTTAATGATACTGCTATGATTTTAATAATTTAACTTTGATGGATTGTGAATTCTGACTGGTCATGTTCTATTCATTGTTTTTGGATTCTGACTCCCAGAATTTTCTGTGAACTCTCCAGTTCTAGCCCACCTGGAGTACAGCCTACTGTAGAGGTTGCCTGGCAAGCCTCGCCTTGCCTCCTGTTGGTAAAAAAAAAAGGGGAGCTGATGCGGTGCTTCCTGGGAGTCAGGCAGGAGGTACTCTTTATACAACCTAAATGGCAGTGAGACCATGACTGCCCTGTGGCAGTTTCTTTTTTTAGTATATTACCAACAGGAAGCAAGGCTCAAGAGAGCCTCAGCCTATGAGCAAGGCTCCAGTCCAGGCAAGTGAAATGTTGGTCTCCACAGATGTCTGTAGTTTTGGCTCTGTGGGCTGGAACTCCCAGAATTCCACCAGGGGAATACTTGAAGCATTCTGGGAGTTGGCATCCCAAAACCCACAGGCAAACCCAAATGGCACATCTCTAGTTGTGAACACAGGCAAATGTTCCAAACTGGAGAGCCATCTCCAACAACTCTTAGACAAAACAAAGCGTGTTCATATAGAAAGGGGAGTAACTGTGATCTAACAGGTACCTACTGAAAATACGTATGGACCTTGCACATTGGCAGTGCTTTATGGATCCTCTCCAAGAGTAAGCCCATAAATGTGTTGCTTAGAAATCTATGAGGAGCGTTTGATTCCCTGGAATTTAAGAGGCTGGCACCTTAATTTACCAGGATGGCACCTTAATTTGCAGCTAAGAATACTCCTGGCTTTTAAAATTAGATGCTGATAATCTGCATATAATGTGATTTCAAGGAAGTAGCAACATAGGTGTTAATGTTCAGATTTCCTAAAGTAGCAATATAGGCATGATTTGCTTACACTGAGGAGTACCACAGGCATTAAATGTGGGCATTGTCTGTGGAAACCTATATGTTAGTATGCCACTATGAGGCAGTTTTAACTGTGGTCATTCATGCATAGCACCACTATCAATATACATTTCAAGAAGATGGAGAAAGTCAGGTACGTCATATTAATTTAAGTGCACAATAAGGATGTGCAGCAGACAATATTCTTTTTTTTTTACAAAATCAGTGTAAGTATGTGTCATATTTATGTACTGAACTGTTTTAAACTAGGAAGCAAATCTACATGAAACAAAGAGAAGCATTACCCACAAATTACCATCAAGAGATGATTGATTAAATTAACCAAAAAACATGTATATTTTAAACCAGATTTTTTTCTATTAAGTATAATACCAGAAAATGTTGATAAGCAAAATGTATATTTAATTCTGCATATTTTAACAGCCGCAAGGATAATATTTGCACAGTACTGGAAGAATGAAGAAGCACCTCCAGATGAAGAAATAATCAAGAAGATACTGGATTGTGCAGAAATGGACAGACTAACATTAAAAATCAAAGGGAAGGAAAATATAGAATAATATCAAACTTGGAATCAGTTTTATCAATGCTAGAAGCACGCTCTATAGAATAAGGACTTAATATGTATTGGAGCTGTATCAACAAATGATTATAAGCAGAACCCAGAAGACATGATGTTAAATGAGCACAGATATATTTTATAAATAATAATAATAAAACTTTGAATAAAAAAAGAGAAATGATTGACATATTCATCCTCATTTAGCATTTTAGTTTAAATGTCATTACTAAAACATTCTTTTTCATACATTTCAAAGAAGGGAAAATGAAGTTGTTGTTTTTAAAAAAAAGTTGTTCCAACACTTTCATATCAGCTCAAGAAATAACCAAAACAAACAAACCAACAAACCCAATCCATGTTTGTTGTAAAAGGCTTCTTTTGTATTTTGGATGACATTCTCCCATCTCAACTTTATCATAATTTCCGAAGTTCAATCATGAAGCCCCAAGAAGTGAGTCCAGCCAAAAATCCAAATCTGCATTCTACAGTGCCACACTTACTGTACATTTACATTGTAAACATTGTGCAGCCTGTTTATTCTTCCATGCCCCACAAAATCCTTTGCAGCATGTTGCTTGTTTCCAGTGAGTGTAAAAGAAAAGCTATTTATATCGCAACATCAGAAACAGACATCTCTCTGATTGCTTGCACACGGCATGCCCCCAGAGGTATCTGCACGAACAGGGCATGTTGCATAATAAAAGATTATGTTTGAGGATGAAATCAAAATGCTCATTCATGGAGAATTCTGGACAATTCCCCTGTACTTCATTGTAAAATAGACCTTTGTGGGTGATTTGATTTAATATAACAGAGATGAATTATTATTGTTCTTGACATAGAATTCAGGGATACACAGCTTTTTTAAAGAGAATCCTATTTGAAAAACTGAAATAAAACAGAAATTGTGATAAATTATTGAAGAACAGGGAGACACACAAAGAGAGAATGAGAGATGCTTGCTTGCATGTGCTCATACACTCCTACAATGAGAGGGAAATGGGCAGAAGAGGGGGGGATTTTTGTGTCCTCGCAACTGTAGCAATCTTTAGAGCCAAACATCTGCTCCAGTGCAGATGTTTCCCAGATGCAAGAGGAGGGATGCTACCCCTCCTGCAGATGCTGTTTTCACCAATGCAATAATCATACTGATACTATCCAAAAATATAGAGCACAAAAGAGAACACATATTGCCCTGAGATGCATAAATCCCATCAAACGTGGTGGCCGGTACGTTATGCTCTGAACTCCACTGACTTCCATGAAGCTCAAGTGGGTCTAACAGCATGCTAGAAGGTTGTGCACAAAGATGGGAACAGGACCTTAGCATACTAATAGCTTCTCCACTGATTATTATTACTGTCCACTTGGTGATTCATCTTCACATGCTGCTTGAGCTGAAAATAAACTAGCTAAGCATAATTGTTTCCTCAGAAACATTAAGCTTTTCTCTGCTAGATTTCACTTGGTGCATTGTTCAGAACATGACGAACAAATCATCCGTCCTTGTTCTAGGTTGTCATCACTGCCACAAGTGTGTGTGTTCTCTGCTGTCAAATTGGAAGCAACTTACCGCAACCTTAATAGAGCTTTCAAGGCAAGTGAGATATTTAAGGAGTGGTTTTACTAGTTCCACACCTCCAGTGAGTCTCCATGCCCAAGTGGGGATTCAAATCCTGTTATCGAGAGTCCTAGTCTCTTGCTCTATCCACTACACCACACAGTGCCTCAAGAGTTACATCAAAGGAATCCCAAATGTGAGGGCTCCCACTAGAGCTAAACTCTAGAACAGCCTTCCCCAGCCTGGGTCTTTGAATAGTCAGTAAAGAAAGGGGAAAAAGGAGTTATCACCTCCCCAAAAATCTGGGAAGATCCTAGTTGGGGAAGGTTGTTCTGCATCTATGACCAATGCTCTACCACTTTCCTCACAGTTGGTCTTTCAAGCACTTGTTATATTCCTTTACTTTCCAAAATTAGCTGTGCCTTCCTCATAATACAATCTTCAGTTTGATTAACCCCTTCTTACCTCGTTGCATCTCCCTGCCTCTTTCTCAAATCACCTGTTTTTTGTACAATTTGTTCTCAGTTCACACTTTAATCTGCACTTTGCCTTCATCCTGCTTGTCTCTGGGATTTCTGTTCCTTAGATTAATTGCATTCTAGGACCTTTTCTTGACCCTCTGCGAAAATTTAATTCCAGCATAGCAATTCTCACTTCCCTTGTAGAAGCTGAACTGCAAACCTTTTCCCTATCAAGCACCTGGGTATTCCATGGCACTGCATCAGCTAAGCCATTTATCAGACATTTCACCAACAGAATATTGAACTTCTCTTTACTGTCTTCACATGAGAAAGAAATTAAGCTTAAGGAGATAAATTTAGACTAGAAAAATATAAGGAAAAGTTTACTTTTTAAACAAAGTCTGTATTACTATTTTCTTAAATATATTAATGTCCCACATAGCTAATCTTTTGAAAAATGCAGGAAACTTCATTTTAAATCACTTATGTCTGATTTGGCCCTAATACGGCACTGAGAAGCTCCAGTTAAGATGGTACTATGTTCATAACTTTCTATGAATGAAGAGCATTTTAATAAGACATCTCACCCAAAAAAGAGAGATTTTATATGAAATAGGGATGTTCAATATGTCATTATTTTGGGTTAAATGTCAATAATGCCATTAATTAATGGTTTTTGAGGTATCTTGCCAACCTTTATTGGCTCTCCATGTGGAGACATCACTTCATCAGACAGTTCCATCATCTTCAATGCCATCAATGCTATCTGCATAGCATGGGTATCACTCTCTTTATGTAAGCCTCCAGCTACACAGTATGCATCTCCAATGGTTTCAACCTAAAAAGCAAAATGTGTTGTCTTAAAATACAAGAAAAAATAGCATGAAGAAATCATTGGACATGATATAAGAGATTTTCAACAAAATTGTTCATTCATAGAATTACAGAATAGTGAAGTCAGAAGGGGCCTATCAGGCCATCAAGTCCAATGCCCCTGCTCCATGCAGAAATACTAATTAAAGGATATCTGCCAGATGGCTGTCTATCTCTCTCTTGAATGCATCCAGTGTTGGAGCACTCACCACCTCTCAAGGTAATTGGTCCCACTGTCGTACTGCTCTAACAGCTAGGACATTTTTTCCAAACCCCATAACTGCTAGTCAATAACACATTGAACATTCTGTTGATTGATGTATGAATTATAGTAGTTTGCCAATTGTATTATTCAATTTGTTTTTAACTTATTTGTAAATGTTGTTTATAAACTGTCATTTCTTGATGGAAAAGTGAGACAGAAATGCAATGAAAATAACAATAAGTAATTGTTGGCTAACATAAGTTGCCAGCTTATAGAAGTAATTATTTTAAATTGCAACATCTACAGTAATTGTTCATTGTGACACTGGCGTTCTGCCAACATGCTTATCCTATGTTCACCATTTGTGGGGTACCCGCTGTGATTCTCAAATCATGAAAAGTGCCTCTGAAGTCAACACATCTACTCCACACTATAGACTGCAGTTCTAGGTACATAATTTGCTAAATTCTTTATTCCTTATTCCGGAGTTACACAGCCCTCTTCAAAGACACATTTGATTTCCCACATAGCTAAACATACAGATTGTTTTGCAAACAACTGCTGTTTCAATTTCCAGTTCATTGTTCTTTCATCCCAACTGCGTCAAAAGCAATTTTTAAAAGGTCCCATTCATCTCTCTACACGGCTTGGCTTCCCTCCCTATAAAGGCAAATTTCTGCAATAAATGTTCTACCTTGTAGACATCCAGCTCTCCACACTGGTAATCAAAGCGAGTGTAGAGCTCATTAAGCATTGTGATAACCTGCATAGGTGAGCACTGGGAACAGATGGCAGTGAATCCTACAATGTCAGAAAAAAGCATTGTGACATTATTAAATTTCTTGGCCTGCACAACTTGTCCCTGCCACAGCTGCTGCGCAACCTCTTCAGGAAAAATTGAACATAAAAGATCGACTGTCTTCTTTTTCTCTTCTTCAAGTGCTTGATGTGCCTGCTCAAGAGTGGCTTTAAGCTTCCCCAGCCTCTTCTTCAGTCCATCTTGAGCTCTAGCTTGTTCTCCTATCAAAACAACATCCCTAAGTGCATTATGAATTGGAATGTCTGAAAGATATAAGCCACGTCCTGTAAAGTCTTCTAGTCTATCCACACAGGGAGATCCCAAGAACAAGATGGCACTAGACTCAAAAATGTAGATCATCTGTCCTTTAAGGTCCATAACCTGAAACAGTGAGAGAAAGACAGGATGACATGAGAATTCTCAGCCACTAAGAGAATTCTACTGAGACAGTAACAGTCATTCCTGTGAGCCCACAGTGCACTACCTCTGTACACAAACCAACAGTGGGCTATCTTTGCACTGGGGCAAATCGGCTCTGTTGTTCAGTAGTCTAGTGGTTGGTTGTTGGAGCTGAATGTAAGATGTTGTCTGTCTGAGATGTCTTGCAGCTTTTCTTGCTAGCAGACCTTCCATTGCTCAGTATAATCATCTGCAAACTGCTGGATCCATCTGCTTTTGAACAGCTGGACATGATGCTTGTTCTAACTCGAAAGGAAGAGAGAAAGAGGAGGGAAACAAGAAAAACAAAAGGAAAAAAACTTGCTCCCCTTTGGGCCTGGAGACATGAGGAAAGTGTGTGTCATGCTTAGACTATTTGAAAATGTAACCAGAGAACGAACATTTTGAAAAGAATTGAAGCTAAGAACTTGCCACCTTAATGTTGTTTAATTCGTATCCTAATGGCATGGAAGGAACATATTAAGCCCCCTAAGAGAAAGAGGAATACATATATACACCTCAGCTTATGAAAGGGATGCCCTACTGTTATAAAAAGGTAAAGAAAGCTCATAAAGGAGAAATTTTGATCACAGCAATTTTATCTGCAAGGACACTTCTATATTTCTAAATGGTGATAAAGCATACATTCATAGTCACAGAAGTTTATTGCAACAAACTGCACAAAAATATATAAGCAGACAGACCTCAAGACAACAATTCAATTCATATTCAGCAAACTAGACATTTGGTATGCAACAATTTTCCTTCTTTCTAAACCTGGGAAGAAAATGCCTGGGTAACAATATTTTTTTCCAAGAGATAGAAGAACAGGGTACAGAAAGATGCCCACAGGTGCTTCAGTCAACATTTCCCATAAATAACTAAGTCAAGTAAAACTGGATAACTGTTCTACATGGAACTACATTGCACTTGGAATCCTAGCAACTTCCAGAACTTTGAGAACATCTGATGAACAAGTGGAGATAATTTTTCCTAAGCATGTTTTTCTAGTAACATTTGAAAGGAGTCTATTGCATACAGCTCATTTTCAACTTTTAATTTTTTAAATTTTGATTTTTAAGTTTTGTAAGCCTACCCGCGCTAATAACATGTCAGTATAATGCCAAAACCAGCAAAAAGATTTTCTTAAACAGCCTAAGCACAACAGCACTTTCCTCATGCTTACAAAAAGGAGCAGTTTTTTTCTGTTGGGGTTTTTGTTCCCCCCCCCCTCTATTCCTTTTCAGGTCAGAGAAACAAACAACATGTTTGTTCAACAGAAGATAGATCCAAATCTTTGTAGATTTTGCAGATGGCTGCACTGAGCACTGGAAGTTCTACTAGCAAGAAATGCTACAGGACACTGGAGACGGGCATCTGACCAGAAGCAATTGAACTCCAGTGACCAGAGGTCAATCACAGATGTTAAAATAGTTAAGAGGATATAGAAAAGCAGCCCTGAAAACATATATTGTGCTTTTAAAAATGAGCTTTGAACAGTGATTTATTAAAAGTTGGTGCAAAACAATCAGCTAGCTCCTGCTAAGTTTGGAAGCAAAGTTACTATACAATAACATTCTTGATAGCTGACTGTTTTTACAATGATAGCCACAAAGAAGTTAATTGAAACTGTACTAAAGTAATTGTTTTGCAATATGTAGAATATTAACATGACAGGTAAGTGTTGTTTCAGGTCCTGCGATTTCTTCTACTTTATTTTACTGTATAGTTTCAGCCCACTGAAATCTGTAGAGTCTAAAACTGTTAGTCCAAACAACAACGCTTATCATCATGAAGGCAGCATGCGAGATTCTGATTTGCTGGAACTATAAGATGAGAAGTAGTAAATGCAACAGAGATTTCTATTATAACTTTTTTTCTTGGCACATCGGGGCCCTGAGTTACAGGTCCAGCAAAATAGAATGTTTATAGTTGGAAGGGAAAGGTAAACATCCAAGAGAAATAGAAATATAAATATTAACAAGAGACACATACATGGCATCACATTGCAAGGCAACACAACACACAACACACATTGGATACCAACAGTACTGTATAGATTTAGCTGGCTAGACAGCTCAGTGAGTTAGGCCTCTGACAAGCTAGAGTTTTGGAGTTCAGTTCCTCACTGTGCCTCTCAGGAAACCAGTCAGCCCTGTATGGCTTTATGACCTGTATGACTGGTGACACACATTTTTTATTAATAAAAATCTGGCCTTTAGATGACAGCAATACCAAAAAAGAAGCAAAGGTTATAACTAAAGGTTTTTTTTATCTATATTCATCACTCAGCTATAATCTAATTCAATACACGTGACACTTCAAAAGAAAAATTATCTTTAGAACAACAAGAGTCATCAAATTTGTACAGTAGTTAAATGTCCAAACAAAAAATAAGACCACAAAATTGGAGTGCTTGGTGAATCTTTGTACATTCAGGACACAGATTGCACACCCAAATGTTCTCCTATGGAGGAAAACAACTCCACACACACTAAAATCTAGATGTTCAGGAAAAGTACTAATGTCACCTTCTTCCTCTTATTCTAATTTTATATGAACAGAACTATATTATGTTATGTTGGAATATTAATCTATCTATATAGATTAATATTCCAACATTCAACCCCAACAACAATATTGCCTAGAAATAGTCAGAATAGTTTTCAACCAGGCATGCAGTTACTAGCAGAAGTATTGATAAATACATGGAAGAATATATCAATTATTTTTATTTTTATTTTTATTTATTTATTTTTGCTTTTATGGTAGGGGATTTTGCAAGAAGAAAATGCAGGATTTTCAATCTACACACAGTTGACAGGTTTCCTGTCTTCTACTTTGCCACAGTTTCCTTACTGGATTTAATGCAGAACTTCAGAAAATAGAAGAATGGATCATATACATTAACTCATTGGCTGTTCCAAAGATATCCAGATTTGTTACTGTGCCTGAACTAAAGATAGATGAATGGAATCAAGAAATATAGGTGGGAAATAAAGATAGTGTGAGTAATCAAATTCTTACCCCAGTTGATTTTTTAATAGCATTGTCCCCTCGTCTCACCCTTATGGTGAACTGCATGTTCAGCATTGTCATGATGCCACTAAACGTGCACTTTATTTTAGGAGCCAGGATTTCAAACCACTCGTCGAAGTTTGGCTTTGCTTGAAATTCTCTCCTGTTTAGCAGTCTCCGTATACCATTGCCAACTTGCAGGATAGCCATGTCCTTGTCAAACATGCAGTGGAATGGAAAAGTCTTGCAGAACATAGAAGTGGGGATCACAAGGGAAGACTGTGGTTTACATGGAGATAAAGACGGTTTTGCACTTTTGACTTGCACAGCATACAACAAATATGGCTGGTTAATAAACTCTGTGCTGTCCTTGCAGAAACAGGGGGGCAACACTGTCACTTCCACCTCTGTTTCATACAGAACGTGAGCTGCTGCCTTAATAATGCCAGAGAGGATGAGACTAGTTGTTTTCTTAGGAAAGAAATAGTAAACATTCAAGACATCTGGATCCTTTTCCAAACACAGGATGGAGACCTCTTCAAGTCTCCCCTTTTTCTCTGCTTCGTGGCAGTGGGAACTCTGTTTCAGCAGAGTACTAAAACTGTTCAGAAACTCTTTGAGGGTGCCCCCAACAACTCCCAGGATGTGTTCATCTTCTTCATAACATATTTTGAAAAGCTCTTCACCAAGTGATTCCTTTATAACATTTACTGGAACTCCTGCCAATATAAAATATTTTGGTCACTGGTCTGCCTCCATGTCCTTTCTCCTTCCCCCTCCCTCCCTTTTATAATACGCCTTTGCTTGTAAATGTTTTATCTTCAAAGGCTTTATTTTTCTTCCCTCCCCCCCCCCAATCCTGGTTTAGATGACTAAACATCTTCAAACTAACTGAGCCACATCTGATCAGCATCTAAAGACTTCAATTCTCACTTTCCTGAGGCCTTTTATGGTAAGAACAAACAACTTGCTTACTTTGCACAGATATTTATGCTGGGCAAAAATCTGTTGAGCATTTGCTACAGAAAACAATGACTAACAGCAAAGTGACTTTGGCTTTACTAAAAGCAAAGAACTAAACTAGGGATCTGGAAGCAAATGCAGGCTTGGGAACCTGAGCTGCCATTTCCCCACTGGAAAGCACCACTTCTGTTATGTATGCACACTGTAGAATAGAAACAGCAAGCAAGTATGTGCTTCACCATTTATTCATCAGCTGCTGTCACTTTATAAACCTCTTCCACAGCCATTCTTCACCATCTGACATGAAAGCCATACATCTGGGGTTGGTGGTTTAGGAAGAGCAGGTGGAGCAGTGACTGAGAGGAGTGCTAGGTACTGTATTCTCCCTCCTGAATGACTCTCCCCTGACAGCCATTCCATGCTGTTTTTCAGAAATGCTGCAGTTGCCTGGGCTACCAGGTCCATGTTCACAGCTTAATATTTAAAGTGGTCTTTGGATACTGTTAGCCTCATTGCCAGAGTAATCTCTTTTGCACTGCAAAGAAATGACACAAGGGGAGATTCCATTCTTATGCTAGATTAGTGTGCAATAACTTGGGGAGCCTTGTACTAATCTAGCACTAGACGATAAACAATTCCTGGAATTCCCATCAGCTTGATCCATTATATCAATTGCAAAGGATAGCAGGGACTGTGGTCTGTATCACCTGAAAAGCCACAGGTTTTTCCATTCCTACTTCAGAGAAATGAGGTAAGTATGAATGTACAACCTCTTTAAAATGTTTTGTAAAACAAGAAAACATTGCCCCATAGATGAAACTTCCTGTTCCAGAGATAAGCTTTTAAGATCTAAATTGTCTTCTTATCTGCATTGTATGCCGCCCAGAATATGATCTGATTAAGGGTGGCACAAAAATGTTTTTGCTTAATACAATTCATGGGCAAGAACCAGGCCCAGAAAATATCCACATAACACTCATTATATCAAAAGATGTGTCTGTAACAATAAAATCAGTGGGGCTAGTGTGCTTCTCTTCTCCCATGTTTATTATGCTGAGCAATAACAGATCTAAATAGGACTTATGTAAATTTAATACAGAACTGGATCAATTTGGAAGATTTAACAAGCATTCCTTAATTGCATTAATAGCAGTTATTAATAGATATATCTCTCTACCTGCTGCATTTGCATGATCAGTGATTAGCTTCTCAAAGTCTTCTCTCTCTCCAGAATTCCTATCAATGAGGCAAAATAGAATGCTAAAAGTTCCCAAATGCATGGTAAAAATTAACAAAACCCTATATTTTGAAATAATGATTAATAAAGCAACCAATAAACTATCCAATTTAAAACATTAGTATGAAACAGAACTTCAAATTTTCTTTTCCTAAGAAATTTCATTTTAATCCTTAACAAGTTGGCTATGTAGTTTTGCAGAAAAACATTTGAATGAGCCTATGCTTACATTTGTCCTTTGCATGCAAGCAACCTGTCCCTGCTGCTCATTCTACACCACTAGCAAAAGGACTAACATTTTTCTAACATATTTTCCTACTAAGCAAATCCTAAGCATGAAAGTCCACAGGACTGCAAGTCAAGTACATTTAAATCATGGTGCTGCAATGTTTTAAAATCATGATACGCATATTGAGAAACAGATCATAAGATAAGATCATTAACTTCCAAGAGTTACAATATCAGAGGAATGGTCACACAACTCCAAAACAGTGGTTTCTGATCTCATGAGCACACTAGAAATGTTCCTTTTTTGAACTACAAGTTCTGGAACCCCTCAGCTAGTGTGGTCAGTGGGAGGCATTGTCCAAAAATTCCTAAGTACTTTTATATGCTTTTTTCTAAGAAAAGTCTGAACCCTCAACTAACAGTGAAGTCTTACACATATCCAGAAGCAAGTCTTGTCGAGTTCAGTAGGATTTACTTTCACATAACTGAGTACAATACTGCTATATACTATATAAGCTGTTTATAAGCTTCTCAAGTCTCAGGAGAACTCTACTGCTCCTGCTTGAAAGTACTGTACAGGCAAAGAACACTGCTGTCTTCACAGAAGTGAAAGTAAATCCATTTGAAACTAGAGGGATACAGCCCAAGACTGAAAATTCATACCATGACACACAGTCCTGATAAATTTAGCAGATGAAGGATTCTATCATCTTGACACTCTGATGTAAACTCTTTGTTACCCTGGTATTTGGGTTACTTGAGATACTTTGTTATTTAAGGTATTTAAGGTACCTGAGTTCAGCATCTTAAACACTTTACATAGTACAGTGGTGCGTCGCTTAACGATGTTAATTGGTTCCAAAAAAACATCGCTATGGGAAAACATCGTTAAGCGGAACACGTTTTCCCACAGAGATGCATTGAAAACTGGTTAATTCGTTCCAATAGACACGGATTGCTGTCCTTAAGCGAAAAAACCCAGAGGAAACATCGTTAAGCGATACAATGTTTCCTCCATTGGAATGCATTGAAGCCTATTCAATGCATTTCAATGGTTTTGCAATGTCCATTTTTGCAAATTTAAGTGTGTCTTAAAAGGTTCAAAAACTGTTTTAAATGCTTGGAATCGTTAGTGCACCTTCTAAAATGGGTGCAAACTTAATTTGGCTTTGATCTGACTTTTCGTTAATTTTTGCTGAATTTTTCCCCCCACCAACTTTTGA